CATGTAAAATTAAGGTCAAAACCCCCCTTGGTCTAATACCGCTTGCTATACGTGGAACCACTAATACCCCTAAGAGCTGTTAAAAGTCTTCCCCCGTTTCTGCGCTTTTCCAGTGAATGCCCTATCTCACGCCATCATAAAATATACATCTGCATACTTAATATAAGGGGCGAGGCGCTGCACAGTTGCGTCATGGACACCTGACGGGCAGCTGTCACCTGGTGCAGTCGTGGGTATTTTCCGCGATCTTCTCGAACCAATTTGTACCCTAGGTTGCCTCTCGTTTCCGCTGATTGCTGCCAATTCTAAACGCAAAAAATTACAGGGGTCATACAGGCACTCCTGACATGCGATCCGTTCGTGATGATGATTACAGGGCCTTGGTTGCATTCCCTACAGTTGTGACATAGATATCTCCATCGACAGTTATTCTTCGCTGAGGGGCGATTGACTACATGGTAAAGAAGGAGGGTGCATGTTGTATACATTGTCTGGCGCCGCTGCTCTGCAACGATGAACCTCATAACCTAGTTACGTTGGTGGCCCCACAAGCGTTGTTGCTAAATTTCTCACTCCAGCTTCCCCTTGCAGGACTTGTCTACTAACCATCTTGCCCCTCAGTGGAACGCAGTGAAGAGCTAGCAGGCGCGTTCGCTCACTTGGCGTCACTCCCACACAGCGAAAATTAAGCGTGGTGACCTTAACATGCTTGATGCAACTTGGCAACAAGCAAGGCCTCCGAAACACCATGACACATTCATGGGTACTTTGGAGGTAGTTTTGGAAATGACATTTAGGACGCCCTACTGAGTAGTACACCGCCGCAGATCTGATTTCCACTAACAAGATCACTCCCATGAAGCTGCAACTAGGTACAAAATTTCCAGTTAGCGGCCACAAATGGTGTCTAATAACTTCAGCATATCTAGCGTTAACCTGCCCCGCAGCGCTTGAATAGTTTTATATAGACTTTAAAAACACCGAGCGGAAGAGGCTACAGTTGTTTCTGCGCTATGCAGATCGGGGTCTTTATATTCACATTTGTTCAGCCAAAGAACTAAGCATCCTATCCCATGAATATGTGGACACAGCCTATGGCATGGCTATTTCAACGATCTAAACGGAGGTAATGGAAAATAGACCTAGTCGTGCTCCCACAAAAGTACGCTATCGCAAGCGCGATCATGCCGATGAGTTTTATCACTGACGTGTTTTCCTGTCACATATCCCACTCCAAACCTCCTACTACATACTGAAGGCAGATAAGTTGCTGGAAACTGTTATACACTAACCCATTCACTACACTAAAACTGGTAGTACTCAGGCATCAGTAAAACTGATGAATTCCCAGGTAGATAAGTGTAGACTGAATGCTCCGGGTTTGGTCGTAGGCAATGGGAAACTCTACGACGACATACTATGAAGTTGCGAGCCATTCAGTTGTCTGCTTTTCATCTCCCTTAAACGTGACGGAAGAGAGCAAGTCTCTGATAAACCTTCACTACCAAACTTTTGTGTGAGTAATGTGCCCTTCACCCAAGAAAACATTAACACTGCAACATCATTACTTCGGGCCCCAAACAGGCGCTAAAAGTCATGGAATCCCAACCATCCTGCGAAAAACGGATGGCAAAAGCGTACCAGTGACCCTCTCGCAGCTCATTTACGGGTCACGCTCGACTGGCAACTGCCCCGGGGGCTCGAAATTGCCATGCATATCTGCCAAGCATGAATACAAAGTAGCGTCTAATGCCAAAAACTAAAGACCTATAAACGTCACGTCGGTGGTATCTACAACTATGGACACGGTGGTCGTCATGACATTTGTCGGCTACGGGACGACCAGCCGGTTACTTTCTCAAGTACAACTCGGTTTGTTGGAAGGCCGCTCATGCGCCACCTGATTCCCCGACCATTTGGACGGTGTTAGAATCAAATGCGACTACGGCCTATTCGTAAAAACGGCCTCGTGGACATGAAGACAACCAGTCAATCGGCGGCCGTCCAGTCTCGATTAATTTTAATTCTCAATAATGCTGTCGTGATTAACACGATCAAACGCCCTGGCAAAGTCTGGATGAGCAACATCAATCCAACCTTGACGGTCGATAATATTAGTCCATCTATCTATTACAGTGAGCATATTGGTAATGCAAGTATATCCCTTTCTAAATCTGTTGTTAAGGCGTTAACTATTTAATCATTATTGGGTGATTCCTTGTCCATCACAGATTGGCGATTCCATCACTTTGAGAGGCATAACAGCGCCACCAATCCGCATTACTTCGGGTTGATGGTTCGCGTTATGTGACCCAACTTTTAACGATTGGGCACTTTTGCTTGACGTAAGGAATCCCTACTCAGAGGCTCAGTCTAAACCGACGCTCCTTACCACGATACCGCCGCATGGATTTTATCCGGATTGGGGGAAGTGTCTTTTGCGAATACTAACAGTTTGCGGTGTACTAGCTCAATGCCCAGGTCAACGACCGGGATATTTGTAAACTCTTGAGTAGGTGATCGATGACGAAAAGACTTACAAATGTTGATCGGCTAGTAGTTCAGCTGCTTCATCCCGTTGGGCCCTACTGATATACAGTTTCCCGTTATAGCCAGCCACAGCGATCCAGCACAGCAGAACAGAATTCTTGGGTTGGAAAGAAACATGTTTATGAACCCAACTTGTGGTCTCTACCCATCGGATCTCAATCCCTCCGTGCATGTGCTTCTTGTCAGCTTGAAAAGCCTGAATTCCATACCTTTCCTTTTGCGTTCGACCGGGTGGTGTATCTTTAATCTAAGGAGTTCGCGAGTGAAGTTGCCTAGTACTTAGGATGATTCAGAGCGCTTCAATGTTTTGAGTAGAGCAGACTGGCCAATGGAATGCATCATTCTGTCAAGTATAAGTCTTCAACAGCTGTCCACATCTTGCAACACATGGTTAACTTCCTAACCCGTCTGTTCCAGCGCTATCCGAAGGACTGGGGTGTTAAGTCGTCTGACGTTCCACCGGGACTCGTTGAAAGGTCAGGCTAGTTTGGTCTCACAAATATCGTGGAGGCCGATAACAACGTGGTCTCCTCTGTCCAAAAGAGCAGGGTTTGCGAGGTTTTCAATTAAGAATTCGTCATTTTTAAAGACGCAGTCTAAGCACGTTGGGGTTTGAGCCTCCTACACCGACGTTAACGATCTCACATTAACTTTAGGCTTCATTTCTTCAATTGGGTTAAGAAACCTAGCTTCAGAGGAATGGTACTCCCACCAAACACATCATTTGCAAATCTAACCTTGGGTAGGTTGAAGCCTCCTGGAATTAGTATGCAAGTGCCCTAGTTAAAGAGAGACCGATTACCTCTAGAATTTGATCGTAATACTGTACGTTGGAGAATAGCTTCCTATAAATAACTCCCATCAAGCAATTTATGGTCTTAGGCAGCTATATGGAGCACCAGATGGACTCCTTAAGACAGGCCACTTCTTGAATTTGGATTTGGTGAGCTGTAAAGGAAGAGCTAATGAAAAGTACTACTCCACTTACCTTACTAACCTTCCTGTCGTTGGTGTTAGCAATTGTCAGCTCCTGATTTGATATGACAGGAGCAACCCATGTCCCATTAACACTGATAAGATAAGCATAAGTGTCCTCACTTAGTTCCTGCACTTCATCAAGTTTATTTGGTAAACTTTGTACATTTGCATAGATACGATTTATGCCATCTACTTGAACTCCTTGAACCCTGTCCACCATCCGCTTGGCAGGCTTTATCCTCCTGTGTGATTACCGAGACCCTACTTAAGTGCGGTGTATCAGTGAAGTGTTCCCAGGTCCTCCACGGTTTTTGAATCCATGCAGTCCTCCATAGGTAAAACCAACTCCAATCTTTCCTTTTCTCGTTATATCCTCTCTTTCTACCACCTGTCAGGCTGCATGTGGACTCCAGGTGGCAAGCAATTCTTGTTTGCATAGAATGCCCGCAATGGAGACGCTGCCATTCGGGAGGCTAGAAAGATAGCCTTGATCAGCCTTCGTCTGGGGTCATTATCTTGTTTGGGCCTTCATGAGACGTTCTGTGTTATTATTCCTTTAAGGATCATAGTATTCATAAGGACTTCCACCCATGGGAATCGTAGTGGATGTCCACAGTACCTATATTTTCAGGCGTGCCTTGTATTATCATGTTCCTCCCCCTAAAGTAAGCCTCGCGACTTGTTCTCGACTGTTACTCGTAGTAATCAGGCAGGCAACTACAACTGGAACAGATTATTGGTTAGATTGACAGTGAAAGAATTCAAGGAGTGGCGGTGAAGGTCTCTAACAACCAATGTATTGATCAGGGAGGATCCATTTGTATTGGGTGTAGATGACAGTGATTCTCCAGTACATCGCTATCTCGCAATAGACCCATGGACATAAAACAAAGGGCAAGAAGTTGGACCTGCTTCTAGGTTAATCCCCCTGAATTTTCGGTGAGGAGCCATAATCTCTAGGGTCAACCAAGTCGGGTGTGTGGAAGAACACTCACTAGTGGCGTGAGATGACGGTCACACAGTATGGCTATTTGACGGAAGTAGAAAAATGTAGACGTATGAATTCCGACCCACTGGCTAGAAGGGAAAGTGCTCTCCATGAGATCTGATGGTCGTAGGTTCCATCCCTGGTAGATCGTGAGTCCAGACTTCCGGGTTCCACGTAAAACCAAGTGGCTGCTCGGTTCTCTGAAGTTTCCCATGATTCTCCAAACAATGTTAGTCTGCGATGAATGTTGCACTCAAACTAGACTATCATGACTGTGGTTGTTTTCCAAGTTACCATCCTCTTATTGACACCTTCAAGAGCAACTTTCGACGTTCCCTTAAGGTTAATGTTAAAGCATGACTAACAGGAAAGCAGGCGAAATATCTTTCTACAAGGTTTACAGAAATTTGTTTAAATTACCGAGGCCGAGTGCGGAGGGTCAAAAGGTTGCCTGCTCGTGGGTTGTGTTCAGTTGATTTACAAAATGGTCCCTGGAGCCAACAATAAGGTTGAAATCAAGAATGTAGCATCAGAAACTGACAGTGATTCCGATGATTCTGCCCCTGAAGTGGAGGATTTAAAAGATCAAGGTGATACTAAAACCTCCCAACTGGCAGATGAATTGTTAAGTCGTAGCAAACAATCAAGAAGTGAGAAAAAGGCAAGAAAAGCCATGTCGAAACTTGGTTTGAAGTTGGTCCAAGGAGTTTGCCGCGTTACTATACGGAAGGCGAAAAGCATTATGTTTGTGATTAACCGTGCTGAGGTTTACAAGTCGTCTGCCTCTGATACATACATCATATTTGGTGAGGCTAAAGTTGAGGACATATCTGCACAAGCTCAAATCGCTGCAGCTGAAAAACTGCGTAGTCAAGCAATGGGAGGTGCAGATTTGAGTACACCAGGTAGTCTGTCTAAGGATGCACTATCATCAGTATCTAAAACTGCGATAGCAGAAGAGTCGGAAGATGAAGAGGAAGTAAGGCAATACTTTATTACTACGAGAATGTCTTTGTAGCCTGATACCACGGGTCTGGGTGAGAAGGATATCGAACTTATCATGCAGCAAGCTGGTGTATCGAGAAGTAAGGCGATCCGAGCGTTACGTGAAAATGGCAATGATATGGTGAATGCGATTATGGTATGTTTTCGTGTGCGGTTTAATTGTTTTTTCTTATAGTCACTAACAGGATAGCATCAAGGCAACTGCATCATACCTCATGTGTGAAACAGGTCATATAAGTAAATCTGAGGAAAATTACTACTGTTCCAATGACTACTCTCCATTTCCCATTGCATCTTTATCACAATTACCTCAGAAATATTTTTGCAATGACCGTGTACCATCAACAAAGCTGTTCCTTGCTTCGTTGATATCCGATTCAACCTGTATGAAAGTAATTTTAACCAGTATCTTCATGTTATGGCTCAGTTTAAAGTGGTTCTTAATACGAGGCGGACGTTAATCATAAGTACTAAGAGAATCGATATTTCAAAAAGTCTACATGTTTGAGACAACCACATTATGCTTCGACTAGCTGTAACATACAGCACTATGCTGTTTTTTTCCGTTGTTCAAGATGTATTTAACTTGTAAAGTATCTATAGGACCAGCGATTGCTGGTAATCACAGTACGACTGCAGTTGACCTCAACGGTACACGTTGTATAAGTCCTAAGTAAAAATTATGTTGCATTCCAGTCAACTTTTTATAATTATAGACAATTGGCTTAGTGTAACGTTCGGTATACCTTACTTGGAACTAATAGCATTACCAGCCACGCAACTGGAAAGTTTAGGTCATTGCTAGGAGTACTGCATTTCGATTTGAGTGACTAGTTAGTGTTACGCAAATATACTTGCGAAATGTCGCTCGCGGCCTCATGAAAAGCTCTGATTGACTGTCAAAATGCGAATTATGTCTTATACTGAGTCGTGAAGTATTTTCACTCCTTGTCTTCCCTTACCCACATAACTGCAGTGTCTTTTACTGCTGTTTGTCATAAATTACGCTTTCTTAATTCCTCGCCTGTTACTCAGCGTTGAAACGCCCCTAGCTACATTCGTGCAGCGTGCACTGAGCCACATCTGTTGTATAAGGGCTAGTCATACTATCTGGCTGCCCAAATCTCGAAAGGTGTAGCGGAGCTACAGCCCAATACCCACTGGTTGTTAGTTATCTCATTAAGCCTCTGAGACATAGCTCTGCCTACTTAGTCGCATGGCTTCAAATATGCTTCGGTGGTCTTCCTCTTTTATAAACCTATTTTCTCATTCTTATCCGTGCAAGGTGTTGTCAAGTTAACTAAAAAAAACCCCTGAATATGCTTGAAGGGTTGAAGTGATCTATGTTGACTCAGGCAGCTGACTTTCGGTTATTGGGTCATGAGTTCACCCACCAGGGTTCGGTTAACCTGGTGGTACCGTCAACCGTATCTCTATAAGTGTGACATTTCATACTACACGTGATTGCCGAGCGGGTCACTGTCCATGTTCAAGAAGTTTTTTTCCAACAGCCAGCATAAAAACCAGGCTGGGGTTGACACAAATTGGTGGAGTTTTAGCGATGGGTCGCACAAAAGGTTTTGTCAGTATAAGTCAGTTTCGCAGTTGTTCCTCACCAACCAATCAAGGAATAGTGATTGGGGTGTTGGAAAGCGTTAACCACTTCAATTATTTGCTTCGTCATACGACTAATTAGGTTGGCTGGTGACCAAACCTAAGCTCGGGTAAGAAAAGCCAATCTTACATTTGCCAACCTACGCTATTTCGGCGTGACATCCGACTCCCTATTAAAGGGCGAGTATACTAAGGGATGGGGTCTATGATGAAAGTAAACTTAAAGAAGTCAGGTTTCACTTACCGCAAGTGTATTTGAAGTATTGTTTGCATTTAGTGGATTCACTTTGTGAGGAATATAGATGTTGGGTGAATTACTGGACAAATTAGTCAGTCAGTGAAGTTGTGAACTGTCACTGACTGAGATGGTTTGGACATGCATGTGTGCCTTAGCTATTGTTATCAGCCCGGAAATAAGTGGGTTGCAAAGTTGTTGTGAGAAAAGTTGGAGCACCGGCATATGAAGCCTGACTCCTTATATGAGCGGCATACGATTGTGGAATGCCTGGTAGTTGTCCTCGAGATGACAGGAGTCCATGCGTAGACGTTGCTATCTACGATGGTAGGCATGTATATACTCTTCGAAGGTTTGAATGAATCCGTTGACCATGTGAATTTCTTATGCTCTCATACTCTTATCTACCTCATCGTAAATCCGTTCTGGCATATTATCTCGCGTGAATTAAGCTGGTCATTGATGAACCGTCGTGGAAGTATAAGCGATGCTCATTGTGCTTACTGAATAATAATGGATGCAATTGAACGGTGGGAAGACAACATAGTATGTTTAAAAAGTTGTAATTGGAGTCTGTCATTTGGTGTTGTACACTACAGTTCCTACATTCACCTTATGCGTAGACGCCAAATATGGTTACCAAAAATATGGTCGTTCTGACTTTAAATTGGTTAATACACACTAATAGCTACTGAGTTGGGTATAAGCCCGACTAGTAGGATTCTTCCCAGGTTGTTTTATGCGTGTAAAAGTTGGGTCAGGATGGATTAGTTCAATCATGGATTTTCACTTTAAACCGTCAGCATACCCGGAGATTTTTGGTTAGGAGAGTGCACGAGCTATCTAGAAAGAGCAAGGAAAAACAGGAAATCTCTGACTACGCTGGTACCCTATGTTCAGTAAATTGGCACTATTCGCTACCGGATCATAGCGGTCACCTGATCGCCTTGACTCTGACTTTAGCAGATACGCTTACGATTCTGATATATATATATATATATATATATATATATATATATATATATATATATATATATATATATATATTCTAATTCTAATGTTGGCATTTATTTGTTCATGAAAACACAATCTAATGAAATGCGCTCAGCAGTCATGTACGTACGTGCAGTAGGCAATGAGCCACACCTATGGTATATGGAAAAAGTTACTGCCAGGTTGCTCGAACCTTAGTAGGTGTAGCTGGATCGCAACCTGTGACCCATCGGACGAAGTTAAATGCCTAGACAAGAGCCAAAGCTTCAAATTCGACTCCGAAGTTATGTGTATGTTCGATTTTTCAGTAGTACTACATTGTATATACATTAGTGGGCAAAGATGCATTCGAGGCTTCAGAAAATTGTCTGGTACAACTTATCAGGTGACATTGCGTCTAGCGTGGCTGAAATTCATTATGTGAAACTGCCTTTGGAGGTCCAGTCTTGCCATCAGCTCCACATGGAGTCTCCTGTTTACTTGCCAGTACATGGCTTTGAGTTTTACGATAAGGTATGGCAATTAGGACCACTGCGCCATCGTGCTGGGTTTTTATATAGGATTATTAATTGGCTGAGTGCAGAATCGAAGCCTACTGTCTGACCAAAGTGCAGATGATAGCCTAATGCAAGTGTAGGAAATTATAAAAACTGGGTAATGTATTGATTCGATATCTCCCACCTACTCTGTGGAAATCACTGTGCAATAAGCCATCACTTACTCAAAGTTCTAAAGGTATTACTGGCGTAATTTTAGGAAGTTACTTGAATTATAGAAAAACAGTTATTAGAAAGGCCTGAATGAGGGAGTTTCATGCTGACAAGTCAAAAGCGATAGCAATATTTTGTGCGACTAACCAATTGTCCCAGATTGTTGACTTTTGACCTCAGCCATAGGTTCAAGCCCCTTCACTTGCCGCGGTCTTTGTAACTAGGTAGCATCATGAACCCTCACGTAATATAGGGGCTGAATGCCAAAGTATGATCTTGCACATATTTCCATCCAGATCAACCTAGGACCAGGCATTACTGCGTAACGATCCGAGTTGCCACACCTCAGATCAGTACATCAAGTAAGACGGTGGTGAGATGCAAGATGAGGATAAGAAAATTCGGTCAAAAGAAATATAAGGTACGAAACGAGAGAAAGGAAGGATGAAAAAATGGTGAGATTCGGTATAGCGTCGTTAAGATGAGGATAATGCATGCATGCATCTGCGCCATATTGCCCAGAGTCTTCAGTCACTGGTTCCTCTTGTCCCGCGGACCCAACCGGCTAGTCTGCATCGCCCCATATGGCTCAAACCAACAGTGAAAGACTTCATACGTTGGTGCCATGCTTCGGTCTGAACACGGGCCTTCTTCCAACCTGGACCTACTTCAGCCAACATTGTGTGACGAGGCAATCGGCGACTAGGCATACGTAACACGTGTCCCGACCATCTCAGTCGATGAAGGTTCACAACCTCATCAACTGAATAACCCCTTCTCCGTAAAACTCTACACCTAACTTCTGTGTTACGCGGTGACACACGGAATACGGCCTATACTACGGAGGCAACGGTGGCGAAACACCTGAAGCCAGCCTTCTCATGTCTTCCACGTTCAATGACCATGTTTCACAGGTGGAGAGTAGAACAGAGCAAACTGGTGTGCAGTACACGCGACCCTTAGTAGCCAATCGGATATATCGTATGGTTCATTCTGATAAATGAACACAAGAATCCACTTAGTGACCCGGCAACTGCCGAGACTAAACCAACAACGAGAGGATAAGTCATGTGTAGTACTACTTCATCTGTAGGTATCATTATTTCCACGTAAGTATTGTCCTCAAAATGCAAATAATATAAAAACTTGTGATAAACATTCTGCTGTTTGGATCTTCATTTCGATCTTAAGAACTAGTTAGCACTCTCCCAATGAAACCAAGAAATGAATTCCTTCGCTAAACCCAGATTTAGTAAACCACAGAATTAAGATTCTGCTTTAGAATTTATTGTTTCACTTGGTTGGATAACAAGCCTATCAAATCGAAATCCCTGCATAATAATAAATATCAGAACTACTCTACCAATCATAAGTATTCAACTCGAAAACATGTGATAGATGAAGATACTTTTTATCGCATGTGAAAGCTTTTAAAAGTTAGTCTGAATTTCAGAGACGGTATTCTCAGTAACCCATTCAGATCTTACTGCTACATCTATTCTCTATATTGTTCATCTGGAGATGTGTTCAATGACAGTCAGGGATCCATCCTGCATTTGTTACCCATTTTCATAAACTTTATGCCCACATGCATACATATCTAGTCAGTTTGCATCTTGATTAATACGTATCCTTTAT